TATGACTCTATTTATTTTCCCCACCACCCCTGGAAACTTCTCCTCTTCATACTGTGGTATCACTGCACCCAGAGTGATGGCAGGGCCTGGCTGATACCACTGCTGCTGAAAAGCATTTGCCTTGTTAAAAATCACCTCGCTTGGGAAAGTAAAATAAAGAAGGGTTGCCTACACTTTATACCAAAGGGCCTCTGCAACCCCAAAATTGTGCGAGAGCAGATTAAATTCACTTCAGAGAAACAAGGGAATTCAAAGTGTCACGCAGGGGTTAAAGTGTAACTGATGTCCTCAGTGAAGTGCTGAGTGGGGATGAGCTGATCAACATCAGGTTTTGTTTTCTTATTCAGGGATGTCAAAAATGAAAGCCATCACCAGATAGCCCATCTTTGTGAATGTTTCCTAATGTTTTCTCCGATTTGATCGTAAATGTGGAAGGCAGTGGAGCTCCCATATATCCTTTGGGATATTACTTCATAAGCTAATAATTATCTTACAAATCCATGATGCAACTGGCGTTTGCCTCTCTCACTGAGGAAACCGCATCCCCTCCAGCGGTATCCCCTTCCTTTTGTCACCTGCGCCCTCCCCATCCTCTCTTTTCAATCAGTTTCTGATGCCTTCAATCTAATTTCAAATTCAGGCTCTGTGTTGGGGGGCAGGGGCTGCCTTTCCCCACTCCCGGCCTGTGAAGAACCACGCTCTCCTGTCTCACTACAGAAAAACCAGACTTCATTGATGAGCTCAAACAATGTGTAATTTAGAGTTGTCTGTCAGTCTGATAGAAATGCAAGCAGATATGGTGCTGTGAACTTATTTTATTACTAATTATGCAGACTGTTATGTAGAATTTGCATGCATCACTTCCCCTCCAGGCTCCTGGCATCTCCCCACTAAGTTTTAGGGAGGGCAAATTTTGATGTTCGTAGCTCAATAGCCTGCCCGATCATGTAGAAATATTTGTGAGTGTGTTTCAAAATGAGATGAGATGAAAATTGTCCTGGAAGTCCTTCAGTAAGCCTAAGTGCAAGAAGAAGGCCTCACACTTCAGCCAGTTGCAGCTGGGATGGTGGCAGGGCACCATAACTACATCAGCAGAGTTTCAGCAGCGATGAAGGAGAAGTGGTAACGCTGTCCTTTATTCTTCTGAAGGCAATGAGGTCTGGAAACCTCGCAGCAGATAATCTGAAAATGCTCACCCTCAGGCACCCGAAATAACTGCTGCCTGGCAGAGTGGGGAGGGGGATTTGTTTTGGTTTCCTTCCCCCCATGGGAAGAGTTTTCTATCAGATGGGATAGGAAACAAGGAAAATGATATTGGCAACATTTAAGGAGGCTTTAAAACAGCAGGAAAAGACATCATGTAGGGATTGCTGCGCCTCACTCAGACTTAGCTTGGGAGTTGAATTGGATCTATTTTTAAATGTGTATGAAGGCAGAGAATTCTCTGTTCCCAAGAGCTCCTCGCTATGTGCAAAGCCTAGTGCTCCAGAGCTGGTACCAAGCCCTGGTCTCATGGATTTACCGGGACTTTGCTCCTCCTTTACTGCCACAAGACAATGTCAGATATTCAGAAGAGCAGTGGCTGGGAGATTTTCAGAGGACACCTTTTAAACTCCTGTACAGTTACAATAGCTTCCCAGGAGCAGCGAAGCCCTGAGCAGCGCAGTTGCTCTGAGGGGCTGAGGATCTGAGCAGCAGCAACTGCATGTGCTTAGTGCTGATGAGAATCCCTGCTGTCCGAGGAAGTTTAAGTGACTTTGCAGGTTAAAACTTGTGAATTTAGATTGCGGTAAAAGCAGGAGATGAGCACAAGTTTGCAGCCACTTGAAACACGGCTGATGCTACTTAGAGAGGCCCTGATGTTTTGGAATAACTTACAGAACCCTGGCTTTTGCTGCAGCTTTTCTGTTATCAATTTTTCTCGTTCCCTGAAAGCTGTAAGGATGTCTCAGAGTAATGTAGTAGACTGGGATTTTCCTAGGCCACAGTCTGCCATTCTCACACCGCCACTCCCTGTGTCAGTGACTGCTCCCATCTCCCAGTGGTCTAATTAAGAAAAAAAAAAAAACAACTAGAAACACTGGAATTTGATAATGAGTCCAAGAAATTTTCTTCTTCCATCTTAGTAAATGCTGTTGCACGTTCCTGCCATCTGAAATGTCCTAGCAGTATCATCCCACATAATAAGTTTACTGTCTTCTTATTTCACTATGAAGTAACAGGGAGCACATTTTTCCTTCCTTCTTCCCTTCTGCCTACTTCTTTCTTCACCTTTTGCTTCACTGAACTCTATGTTACATTCAACACAAACGTAATGGAGCTTTTATAGTTCCTGGCCATCCTTTCTTTCAGACCATGGCTCACAAGAATGACTCTAATGAATAGGACCAGCAAAAAACAGGGGGAAGCACTGATGCCATCTGCCCTGTCTTGTAAATAAATACCCAGTTCAGGTCTTGCCACGTGATTTGACATTCCTTACTCTGAATAGTTTCTGTCACTCTCTCCACACTGCTGAAAGAGTTTCCTGCAATATCATTTTACTAGCTCCAAATGTATCCTTCCATACAAAAATCAGATCAGTCCATGCATGGGGCAGAAAGTTTGCAGTTCCTTTCCTCTCTCTGCATTGTCACTGCCTGCACTGAAACACCTCCTTTCCTCTGACATTCTTCATAGTGAATGTCACAAAATGCCTCACAGATGAAGTCAGACATACAAGCCAGAGTGAAATCTAAGGTGATTAGTAAAGATTGATGGCTCCACAGCTCATGGAGTGTCACAAAAAGTTGGGATGGGAAAAAAAAAGTGAAAAAATCTTTCTGAAGGTTAGCAACAGCTGGACACACACACACACACACACAAAACAACCACAAACACACACAAAACAACCACAAACACACACACACACAAACCAACAGTAAAAAAAATAAGTTGATGGAGAACTTTTCCATGGAGAACTTTTCCATTGAAGGTGAGTGACTATAGGTGCACAGAAGTATGCCCTTCAGACAACTAGCCTCACCACGCTGACACGCTTAAGTTCCTCTTAGGGCCCTCCAGCAGCTCTGAGGAAAGAAGAAAAGGCTTCTTGTCTAGAAGCAACTGCTGTGAGCACAAGTAACTCATCCTGCCTGGCACACAGCTCAGGGAGCAGAAGAGTAGTTTTAAAAACATGTCCACTTTTAGAGGAGCACATTTATTTTAGTAAGCCCATTTATAACTGTCAGTTTCTCTTAACAAATATAACAAAAGCTGAAGCTGTATGGCCTTGTTGGTATGAGGACACATTGTTCACGAGCAGAAGAGGATATGGGAAACATTTGTCCACCAATTGCTGTTTGAGCTCCCTGAGCCACACTCTGATCTCTTGAACTGCCTTGGAGGCTGCACAGATTGGTGTATTTGCTTAGGCACAATATGAGCACAACGGAGAGTACAAGAGCAGAAGCAGCAATTTGAACGGTATAGTTCCTGTCCTCAAAGGGAGGGACGGGTGGGCTGGATAGTACTTGGCCCCTAGGCCAGAGCATGAAGGGATACGCGGTCGCTGCCGCACGCCCTCTGTGCCGCTCCGACACTTCTGGCCCCAGAAGCACGAAGGTTCCAGCAGCCCGCGGTGCGTCCGCGTGCCCTGGAACACAGCTGTGCAGCAAAGTTCACTTCTGTCCTCGGCAAATGCACGCTGGCCTGGCTCTGGGCCCACCTTGCATCACCCGCCGGCCAGCAGCGTCCCTCCCCTGACATACGTTTGTCTCTCTCTGCATTTTGTCTTTCGCAGACGTGCCGGGCTTCCACAGAGGAGCTGCTGCTTTGTTACACACCGTTTGGGCCTCTTTAAGGGGTTGCAGCCGCACACACGGCGATTTAACGTTTTTCCCCTCAGCACTGGTAGCGGTGGACATTTCAAAACAAGCTGCCCTCCCTGCCATCCGCGTGAATAAAGCGCTCATTCTGTCAGCAAAACGCAACGGTCATGCTGCGATAACAAATCAGCCCCCCCGCTGGGGGAGGCGATGGCTCGCAGACGCGGACATCCCACAACGCCATCAGCTCATTCCGCAAATGTACCCGGGCGGAGCTCTTTTTATTATTTATTAAATAACTCCGGGTACGGGCAGCCGTTTGCATTTTCAAAGTCCGCTCAGAAAGCAGCCAGTTAATTTCGGTTCGCTCGGGCCACCCTGAGCGCGCTCGCCGCCCCCCGCCCCGCCGTGCCTCGCAGCGGGGGCGCGGGGCCCCGGGGCAGCTCCTCCCGCCCCCGGCCCGTTCCGCCCTGCCCTGCCGGGGATGGGAAAAAGTTGAGCGCAACTTCTCGGGCCGCCTCGGCCCCGCCCCCGGCACGGCACGGGATTGGCGGGCGGGCGCCGTGAGGCCCCGCCCTCGGCGCGGTTTGTGAATGGGGCCGGCGGCGGGGGCGGGGCCAGCGGCGCGCCCGCGCGTATATGTGTCTTTTTTGTGCCCAGCTCGGCCGCGGGCCGGGAGTTGCGGGGCGTGCGGTTGTGCACGGCCGCGGGCGGAGCGGAGCGGAGCGGAGCGGGCCGGGAGGCGAGGCGAGGCGAGGCGGCGGCGGCGCCCGTCGGGAGCGGACCCGCGGGGAGGATCGCGCAATAATTGGATTTTAAAAGTTATTTAAGCCCGCAAGTAAAATACACGACTCGGCCGGGTGCGGTAATAAGCCGTTTAGCCGTAACCTAAATCCTTGGCGTCGGGGCTCGGCAGCCAGGCGGGGAGCAGCGCCAGCGCCTCGCCGCGGGACCCTGCGCGGAGCTACCGAAAGCCGTCGCCGCCGTCCGCCACCTTCTCCAGCGCTACCGACTCAGGAAACTTAACGCCGAGGAGCGCCGACCCGCCGCAGCCGAAGAGGAACGCCGCGGAGCCGCCGCCGCACCCCCGCACCTCCGCCCCGCGGAAGGGGCCCCACCGCCGGGCGCCCGCGCCCCTGGGGCTCGGCGCTGCCCGGTTCTGACTCGCGCCCCGCGACTCCCCGGGCCCCGGCGATGCGGCCCGCGGCGGGAGGAGCGGGCGCCGGGCTCCGCTGGCTGGGCCTGGCCGCCCTGCTGGCCGCCCTGCTGGGCACCCCGTGCGCGGCGGCGCATCAGGACGATAAGGCCATCTCCGTGCCGGACCACGGCTTCTGCCAGCCCATCTCCATCCCGCTCTGCACGGATATCGCCTACAACCAGACCATCCTGCCCAACCTGCTGGGCCACACCAACCAGGAGGACGCCGGCTTAGAGGTGCACCAGTTCTACCCGCTGGTCAAGGTGCAGTGCTCGGCCGAGCTCAAGTTCTTTCTCTGCTCCATGTATGCACCGGTTTGCACCGTACTGGAGCAGGCCATCCCACCCTGCCGCTCCCTATGCGAACGGGCTCGCCAGGGTTGCGAGGCGCTCATGAACAAGTTTGGTTTCCAGTGGCCGGAGCGGCTCCGCTGTGAGAACTTTCCCGTGCACGGTGCGGGCGAGATCTGCGTGGGGCAGAACACGTCGGATGCCCCGCCAGGGCCCGGTGGCGCGGGAGGTCGGGGAGCCACGGCACAGCCCACTGCTGGCTACCTACCTGACCTCACCCCGCCGCAGCCTGCTGCCGGCTTCTCCTTTTCTTGCCCTCGGCAGCTCAAGGTGCCCCCCTACTTGGGCTACCGCTTCCTGGGGGAGCGGGACTGTGGAGCCCCCTGTGAGCCGGGCCGGCCCAATGGGCTCATGTACTTCAAGGAGGCCGAGGTACGTTTTGCCCGGCTCTGGGTGGGCGTGTGGTCTGTGCTCTGCTGTGCGTCCACCCTCTTTACTGTGCTTACCTACCTGGTGGACATGCGCCGCTTCAGCTACCCGGAGCGACCCATCATCTTCCTCTCGGGCTGCTACTTCATGGTGGCGGTGGCTTATGCGGCGGGGTTCCTGCTGGAGGAGCGGGTGGTATGCCTGGAGCGCTTCTCTGAGGATGGCTACCGTACTGTGGCCCAAGGCACCAAGAAAGAAGGCTGCACCATCCTCTTCATGATCCTCTACTTCTTCGGCATGGCCAGCTCCATCTGGTGGGTCATACTGTCCCTCACCTGGTTCCTGGCAGCTGGCATGAAGTGGGGCCACGAGGCCATAGAGGCCAACTCCCAGTACTTCCACCTGGCTGCCTGGGCCGTGCCTGCTGTCAAAACCATCACCATCCTAGCCATGGGGCAGGTGGACGGCGATGTGCTCAGCGGGGTGTGCTATGTGGGCATCTACAGCGTGGACTCACTGCGGGGCTTCGTGCTGGCGCCGCTCTTTGTGTACCTCTTCATTGGCACCTCCTTCCTGCTGGCCGGCTTTGTGTCATTGTTTCGCATCCGCACCATCATGAAGCATGATGGCACCAAGACGGAGAAGCTGGAAAAGCTGATGGTGCGCATTGGGGTCTTCAGTGTCCTCTACACAGTCCCTGCCACCATTGTCCTGGCATGCTACTTCTATGAGCAGGCCTTCCGTAGCACCTGGGAGAAGACGTGGCTCCTCCAGACGTGCAAAACCTACGCTGTGCCCTGCCCTAGCCACTTTGCCCCCATGAGCCCGGACTTCACAGTCTTCATGATCAAGTACCTCATGACCATGATCGTTGGCATCACAACGGGCTTCTGGATCTGGTCTGGCAAAACCCTACAGTCCTGGCGGCGCTTCTACCACAGACTGAGTACCGGCAGCAAGGGCGAGACGGCGGTATGAGACCTCCACCCGCCCTGGCACACACGCAGAAGAGAGGGTACTCGGCAGAAGGGAGGCAACAGCGGCTCCCTGAAGACGGAGGAAGGGGGGAGGCTTTCCAAAACTTTGGCTTTCTCACAGCGGGGTTAAAAAATGATCATCGCATAAAGGACTACGTGTGCTGCGTCCAATGGTGCTTACGCCCGGCTGAGAGGAAAAGCACAGAAAGAGGCCGCTGCCGGGGCGGGAGAGCCCTTCGCTTTCCAGACAGCCCCCTCTCTTTTCCGTGTGCGGGAAGGAAACCAACGCGGCCGAGGCCACCCCGGGCGGGGAGAAGGCGCAGCGCCGCCCCTGCCCGCGGGCCGCCCGGCTCTGAGCCCCTGGGGTCAGGCGGCCCCCGGGCTCCCGCCTCGTGCAGCCCGGGGCGAGCACGTGAGTACCCCGCGGGCAGCGCGGTGCTGAGCCGCCTCCGCTCCGTCACTTACACGTTCCTGTTTTACCTCAATGATGGCCGGTGTTCGCATTTCGAAGAGAGAGGAAAAAACTGTTGGTTTTGCTGCTGCGGGGAAGGAGGGGGCTGCCTTTCCACACCCTTTCTGAAAAGAAATGACTTGTTGCTTTTCAGCAGAAGGCTTTTCCCCCTTGCCTTTGTTCTAGGAGACAAAGGGGGAAACAAAAGTATTTTCTGAACAGAAAGGCGTAAGCATGGGATCGGTTTTTATGGGCAAAATAACAAAAAGAAGTCACTGATGTTCACCCTTGGATGTGAGGAGCTCACAGAAATAAACATTCCTTTTGTGAGGAGCAGAGGAGGCGGGATGTTACCCGCTCGGACGGCCCGCTTTCCTACGCGGAAGGAAACGCGGGGAGACCGAGAGGGACAGAAGAGCGTAACTGGGAGCACCTGCCGAAACGAGCCCTTACAGTACGGAACGCTGAGATACGATTCTTTCCCCCCCATAACGCTGCTTTTCCCCCCGCTTTCCAGCGGGGCTGCCGCAGGTGAAGCCAACGCCCCGAACTGGCCCCTGGCTGCAGCCGTACCGCTGGGGCTCTCGGCGCCGATCTGCGGCACGGCGGCCCCGGGGAGAGCCGTTCGCTCCGGCTCCAACACGGCTGCTCGTTGTTCCGGAGATCGCGCCTCGGAAGGACGTGCAAAAATTGATCATTAAATCCATCGGTTTCGTTTTGAAATGTGACAGATTTTTCTATTAATTTTTAATGTTGCCACGTTCATTTTTAATGTGTTACGTACTGCTCTACTTTTATATTCACTGAAGGGTCCTTTTTTCTAAGTGTGTGTGTATGTATTCTCGTCTAAGGACAAAACTCTGGACTTTCAGCAGGTCTCCACTCTATGGCTGCTTTTTTTTTTTTTTTTTTTCGAGTGGGGAAAAGAGTGTCTGGAAGTCGAAGAGTGGAGGCTGAGGCTAAAGGTGCAGGCTGCAGGCTGGGGACACGCAGACCGCGTCCTTCAGGACACCTGATCCCGGGCTTGGGGTTTTGTCTTCTACTATGTGCACGTGGGGAACGACATGAACTGTGAGAAAAGTGCAGTATGTATATTTTGTAAATCTCCTTTTTGTAAGAAAATATGTATTTATGTTTTTACTTGATTTTTTTTTTTTTTTTTTTTTGAAGGTCTGTATGAGGCCCTGCTTCATCCCATGTACAGATCACCAAATAAATAATTTTTAATACAAGGGCTCTGAAGTTTTTTCAGTCTTTGAAAGCTGTTCCAGAAAGGGGACAGTGCTGAACGTCCTTGCCTTGTCCTCCCCTCGGGCTCTGCTGTGGGGCACGCAGAGCACAGCCGTTTGAGTAAATACACAACTGAGCAGAAACTCAAAGCAACTTCCACTGGGCGTTTCACACCTACTCGCCCCTAACAACAGATCAGGGTCTGAGGCTCTTCCAAAGGTTTGCCCTCACTTGAGGTTTCATTCTAGGCTCTGCATCTTGGCAAGCTGATAATCCCCATTTCCTTATCTATAAAATCAGGATAATAATCTCTTTCCATCTCAAATGGACTTTGATGGAAGAAAAGGAGGATGCTGCAGGTGCTCTAAATTAAATCACAGCATTTTTCACACCTGTGAACTGTTGATAACTTTCAGCTTCTCACTTGCAGTGACTTCATCCTATTTATTAGGTTCATTACAATGCTTTTACCTTAAGCTGCATCTATGTTAAAAGATTAATTACAAAACTGCTGTAACATGTCACAGAAGCCATACCACCAAGGTAACTGGTTACCCTGAAACTTCCTTCAGCTTACAGAGCACGGGGTACAACAGTTGCACTTCCAGGGCACTGCTTTATTTGGACACCGTTTAAAAAAACCCACCTCTTGCATTTAAAGTTCACCAACTACCAGTGTAAGTTACTTTCAAAGGCCCTTCTATGAGCCTTTCCTCCCGTGAATCCATCAGTGCCAGCTGGGGCAATGGCACGGCCAAAGGGCTGCTGCTGAAGGACTGAGAGTGGTGAGGCTGATGCCCTGCAGCTGCAGCCACAGTGCAAAGCATACAATTAATTCTTAATGCATCACAGACAGGCCAATGACTTATGCAGTCTATCCCCTTCCTTACTCGCTGCTCATCTTGGCTAGATGGGTGAGAAACTGCATTTAGGTGTGAGGGCTATCTGCTGTTCATAACTGAAAAACCACTAAAGATGTATGCCTTTGTTTCAAGACTTCCTATGAGGCACTTCTGAATTTAAAGTCACTTCCAAAAAACTATGAAAATCCTGGGATTTAACTTGGTTTTTAAAATTGGAGATTGTACGTGAAATTTGATGCTGATATAAAGTAAAAGCAACTGCTATTAACTTTAAAGCATATGTGAGTCACATCAAGACTGAATTTGCTCACAGTGGAAACAATGTGGAGAATTTCAAGTAGCGATAAGGTCTGGCCTTCTGGAATAAAAATCTCTGTCACTGTTTTGATAACAAAGTAGCAGTTGCTCTCGTTATGGAGTAAAATTAAAATAAATCTGTGTGAAACTGCCTGCAAAAGAAGAGGAAGCATAGGCCTCTACTAACCTCTGTGAATCACTGCCAGACGCCGTTTCTTTGATTCGCGTTCAGGTACCTTTGGCCCACGTGTATGCAGTGCTTTGTGCATCACAAGAGTGTGGCAAGCAATAGCCATTGCCGCCAAACATCCCTGTGAGTTCAGGGCATACAGCAGATTGCCATGGAAATACATCCCTTCCTGTTTGGTTCTTATGTTTCAGAGACATCAGTGCTGATTTCTGTAAGAAAGCAGCATCACTTCAGGCTAGTTAAACAAGAGGCTTGAGCAGTTCTGGAGAAACCAGCAACACCAACTGAACGTCTACACAGAAAAAAAGTGCTTGTATAACACATCAGTGTTTGTTTGGGTTTATTTTTGGTGGAATACCCACAGCAGCCATTGAATGTTTTTGTCTAACTACTTCACCCACAACCAATAGCTCTGCATGCAAGTAAAAAACCACACACCTCTGTGTTCAGTAACTGGCAACAGTAGGCATTATTTATAATTTCTCAGGGGTTTAGAAACCAAATTACTAGTTTGTATCTTAAACAGTCCCTTCTTTCTCCATCTCATTCTTGTTCCCTCCCAGACCTTACAGGTACATTCTATATAGCTCGCTCTCCATAATTTCTTTCCATTCCTGTAATTATTTAATATCATGAATCCAGCTGAAAGAAATCTAGTCTGTTGCTTGGAGGGGGAAAGACAATCTTTCAGTGCTGTGAGTGATCACTGAGATAGACCAGTGCCAAGCCTGTTCTATATAAACCATGATAATTGTTTCGTGCCAACGTGAGCATGTGGTTTTGGCAGCTACAGCACTGCACAGGGTAATATAGGACTGGAAGAATGGCAAGTTCTCAAATGCCCCACTTAAAACTGACAAATTTTGACTAAAACGATGCCCGAAGTACAAAACTAAAATGAGAACATGGGCCCAGCCAATGTTTGCTTTGCAGTCAGAGAACAGGGAGTGCTCTGATGCTGCTTTACCCTTAGACCCAAGGCTGCCCCTTTTGGAGGGGCCAGGTGCCGCTCATCCAAGAACTCACTTGGTGGGAGGACACAGCACTTTCTCCTAAACCAGGTAAAGGTCAGGCTCATGGAACACACACTCCCTCCCTTACACAGCTTGGCTCTCCCTGTCTGGCCTGACTAACCATGAAAGGAAATTATGACACTGGGATAAATCAACATATGGGTAAAGAATAGAAATAGACAGGACCTAGAGCACATTTTTAATAGCAATTATAAACCGGTGGGTATCACTTATCCATATTAGTCAGGAAATCCTGCTAGCAGCAACTTGTTCATTTTGGCTGCCATAGCTGTGCCACAACTTTGCTTATAAGAAACCCTCTGCTTAAGCATTATATTCTTACAAATATGAGTGGAAAATCAATATATGCTGCTCAGGAGAGCAGTCTACAGGGACGGGGTTTGGCTGCACAGGTCTTTGACATTAACCCCATTGCGGAGCCACCAGGGTAGCTATGAATCCTGCTGGTTAACACCAGGAAGACAACTAAGGAAATAAAAAAAGAGGTCTATTTCTCCACTACCTTCAGCTTTACTGAAAGCTCTGCCAATTCTAGCACTGTTCTCAAAACAAAACACAGAAAGGCAATGCTGTTCTCAGTACAGGCAAAAAGGCAAAGATTATTACCACAGTTCTGTCCTTTTCTTAAGGTAACATGCACAGGTACTTAATAAAAAGCTTGTGGTGAATGGGGAATTCTGATGGGCCACAGCAGAAGAAAAATGTCCGTCTGGCTCAGACGGACACAGAAAGGTGCTCCAGCAAGAAGGCACTAATCTGGAATTTGGAAGACAAGTGCTTGAATGCCTGTTCTGTCATAGATGCTAGGTAGCTCACTCATGGCCAGACTTTCAGCAGTACTCAGGCAGCTAAAGATGCACTCAGGTAAATGGAAAGCACATTTTGTAGTGCTTAAACTCCCAGGTGCCTGTCTTAATAATTGACTAAAAAAATCTCATCTCTGTCTCAAAATTCCTTGTCTGTAAAACTGCAACAGTGGCACTTCCCAGTATCGTAGGAATGCTGTAGGAATAAACACTCTTAAGATCAGAAGAAATTTAATACAATGATAACAGAGTTTATATAAATACTGCTGTCAGATCTTCATCCTCCAGCCCAATGTTTTGCAAGTTGGTCCCATTCTGGAGAAGACTGAATTAAGACCACCAGCTGGAATAAATTATTTGTGTGCTTTCCAACATCTTATCTAAACGTAGGCAGGCTGAACACATGCTTTCACAGGAGTATTGCTCTAGCCAGAGATCAACCATAAGTTATATGAGGG